CAACCCGATCCAATCATATGTCATTGTTGCGGCGTGCAACCCGATCCAATCATATAATACTTTTGCGACGTGCAACCCGATCCCTCTTGTCCTCCCTTATTACTCCATGTTGCGGCGTGCAACTCGATCCCATATAATATAGTTGCTGCGTGCAACCCGATCCCAATATACAATTCAACACCAATCACAAATAAATCCCGGCAAGGGAACAATAAAGAAACAACAATGTCCCGACAAGGGAATCAACTATGAGAATAAGCACATCCCGGCTAGGGAACCAACAGTAAGAGCTAACTACGTTCCGGCAAGGGAAAAAATATCAAAGGCAATAACATCCCGGCAAGGGAGACAATTTCATAAACCTCTTTGCCTTTCCACAATTACTTCACAACTCAATTCACTACTTGAGCCAACGCTTTACACAATGTTCAATTACCAATAATACTTCCACAAATCAATTCACAACTTGAGCCAACGCTCTTCAGTGTTCAATTACCAATAATACTTTCATAAGCCTTGTTCAACAATAGATATCATCACATAAAGCATGAACAATACGAAACAGAGTCACATTTATCATAGTATAAGACTCACGGGCATGCTTGACACCGACATATAGATACTCGTCACCATGCCTATACATCGTACTCTATAATTAACACATAGCAAATAGGACACAACTCCTAATCCCTCAAGCTAAGGTTAGACCAAACACTTACCTCGATGCCACGAACACAATTCAAGCCTCAACTACCGCTTTACCTCTTGATTCCATCACCAATTAGCTTGTATCTAGCCACAAGTTACTTAACTATACCAATAAATGCTAAATGAATCAATTCTAATGCATGAAAATAGGTTTTCTAAAGTTTTTCCCAAAAAGTCAAAAATCAACCCCGGGCCTACATGGTCAAAACCTGAGGTTCGAACCAAAACCCGATTACCCATTCACCCACGAACTCAAATATATAATTTTCTTTGAAATCGGACCTCAAATCGAGGTCTAAATTCCCAAAATTCGAAAATCCTAAGTTCTACCCAAAACACCCAATTTCCTCCGTGAAAACCCTTGATTTTGAGTTGAAATCATGTAAAAGATGTTAAAGATTAAAGAGAACGAGTTAGAAATGACTTACAGTCGATTTGGAAGAGTAGTTTTCTTTGAAAAATCACCCAAAAGTGTTTAGGTTTAGAAAAGGTTGTAAAAATGGTTGAAAATGCGTCTAAGTTATGATTTAGCATGTTGCAGATGTCGCAATTGCAACCAGGGTTCGCAATTGCGAACCCCTTCCAAACCTGCTGCCTTCGCAAATGCGAAGAATATGTCGCACTTGCGACTGCTGAAGTCTAACACGTGGGATGGATCGCCGTGATACTTCCGAAGCATGGACACATGAAACACTGGATGCACGACTTATAAACTCGGCGGAAACGCAAGTCTGTAATCCAACTCTCCCACTCGATCAAGAATCCCAAACGGGCCAATGAACCTAGGGCTAATCTTGCCCTTCTTCCCAAATCTCATCACGCCCTTCATAGGCAACGCCCGAAGCAACACACGCTCGTCGACCATGAATGCCACATATGAACCTTACGGTCGGCATAACTCTTTTGCCTGGACCGAGCTGTACGAAGCCTATCCTGAATGATCCTGACCTTGTCCAAGGCATCCTATACTAGATCCATACCCAACAACCGAGCCTCTCCCGGCTCGAACCACCCAACCGGTGACCGACACCGCCTACCATATAAAGCCTCATAAGGAGCCATCTGAATGAGCGACTGGTAATTGTTATTGTAGGCAAACTCCGCTAAAGGCAAAAACTGATCCCACGAGCCTCCAAAGTCAATAACACAAGCTTGGAGCATATCCTCCAAAATCTAAATAGTACGCTCGGACTGCCTGTCCGTCCGAGGATGAAATGCTGTACTTAACTCGACCCGTGTGCCCAACTCACGCTGAACTGCCCTCCAGAAATGTGAGGTTGTTGATACCCAATTTTTCCTCATATATTTTAATACATATGTATACTTTATAAATAGCACATATGCAGTTATAAGCATGCATAAGCACTTTTTTTATATAATTTTTCTATAATTTTAAGAGCTCCAAAATCAATTTATTTCCTCTCTTTTATTTATAAAATATCCAACAATTATTCCCTGCCTCCCTATCTGCATGAGGCTATCCTTGCCTCCCCACTTGCATGAGGTTAATCCTTGCCTCCCTAAGGCTAATCATTGCCTCCCCATTTGCACGAGGCTAATCCCTGCCTCCATATTTGCATGAGGCTAATCCCTGCCTCCATATTTGCATGAGGCTAATCCTTGCCTCCCCATTTGCATGAGGCTAATCCTTGCCTCCCTAATTGCATGAGGCTAATCCCTGCCTCCATATTTGCATAAGGCTAAGCACTGTCTTCCATCTGCATGGGACTAAACACTGTCCCTCCTTGCATAAATGTTGCTCTACTCCCGTACTGTTTATTTGCTTTTCTAACGGGCTAAGCTCTGCCTTTCATCTCACAAGATTAAGCCTTGTCTTGTTAACATCATATTGCTGCACCTCACGGTCTGAAATATCGCCAATCTATCCAATGGCGTCATAGTTTAAAGGCATCATCCTCATAGCCGGAAGACACCATGCCATGGCCTGAGGATCCCTCAAATTTGCATATCATTATTCAAAGGTATCATGGTTCGGAGGCACCATCTGTATAGCCCAAGAACACCATTTCATGGCCTGCGAATCCCGCACTAAACAATTCATGGCCCAGGACATCATGGTCCGAGGACGTCATCCTTAACCGTCCAAAGACAGCTCTCATGGTCTAAAGGGAATCTGCATCATGTTTAAATTTTCGCACAAGTACATGTTTGTAGCATCTCTTTATTTGCAGGTGATCAGCAAGCAACCGCTATCCTAGCAGGAGCGACCTCGCTCCAGTTCCTTCAACTGTCTCAAACCTTAACCGCTCGCCAAAACTGCTCTCGCACCTCGTGATCGTTCTTGCAATGACTTCATCGGTATATTCTGCCAATGAATCCAGAACTACACATGGCCTGATTCCCATAAAACCAAGGATATGTAGACAACTCAAGACCAGAGTCCGGCCTCTATCTTTCGAAACATCCCATTCGGTCAAAATTGGCCATCATTTCTTTACCCGAAAACTCTTTCATCTTTCCCGGATAAAGAGGGGCAGCTGTTGATACCCAATTTTTCCTCATATATTTTAATACATATATATACTTTCAAAAGAGCACATATGCAGTTATAAGCATGCATAAGCATTTTTTATAATTTTCCTATAATTTTAAGAGCTCCAAAATCAATTTATTTCCTCTATTTTATTTATTAAATATTCAATAGTTATTCTTCAAATTACTTTGTGATGATTTAGTCATCTAAATTCTTTATTTATGCCAACATAGTGTTTAAATATTTTTTGTGCATTTTTATAGTTATATTTATATTTTTAGGCTAATTGCACATCTTTGCAATAATAGCCCATACCAGTGCATAATTACATTATTGATGCATAAAATGGTCTTTTATATTTTTAAAATATTAAATAAGTATTTTAAATTATTTTAGTACACGAAATATTTTTTGGAAATCATTTATTATTTTTATAAATTATATAGTTATTAAAAGTGGCTATTTAAAATCTCGCCTATTTTTATTTTCAATTTCAGCCCCAATTCAACCCAATTACCAGCCCAGTCCCCAATTAAATTTACCCAGCCCAAACCTGAAGACCTGATCTAGCCCCAATACCCTTTAATCTCGGTCGTTGATCATAGAGATCAACGACCACAAACAACCCTTCCTAAAATAAACCAAGAGACCCCCCCCCCCCCCCCAAGAGCCTGGGCTCGCGTTCGCGTGGAACAAACACTTGCTCCCCTCCTAGACCCCTTACTCATCGCGTTCGCGTAGTGTTGGTCGCGTCTGCGAAGGGTGATCCCGCAATTGCTTCGCGTTCGCATAGAGAAAAACCCATTCCATCTGAGGTTACTCTTCCCGATCGCGAAGAAGGATGCACCAGACATCAGAAAAACTCAGAACCAACCATTGCCAACGTCCAAAAATCACTCAGTAGCCTATCCGAAATTCACTCGAGTCCCTCAGGCTCCTAACCAAACATGCACACAAGTGTAATAATGTTATACAAACTTGCTCGCGTGATCAAATACCAAAATAACACCTAGAACTACGAATCAGACATTAAAATGTATGAATTTTTCAAGGAAACTCAAGAACATACAAATTTACAACCGGGCGTCCGAATCACGTCAAATCAACTTCGTTTTGCCCCAAATTTTGCAGACAAGTCATAAATAGCGAAAATAAACCTATACCAAGTTTCGAAATCGAAATTTGAACCCGATAGTAATAAAGTTAACCTACGATCAAACTTAGGAATTCCTTAAACCTTCAAATTACTAGTTTTCAGCAAAACACGTTAAATCAAATTAGGGACTTCCAAATTCGATTCCGGGCATATGCCCAAGTCCCAAATTGCGATACGGACCCACCGGGACGGTCAAAATGCAGATCCATATTCGTTTATATAAAATGTTGGCCGTAGTCAACTCAAGTGAGTTTTAAGGTAAAATTTCACATTTTTCTTAGATTTTCCTCATAAAAACATTTCGGAAAAAGACACGGACTGCGCATGCAAATCGAGGAAGGCTAAACGAAGCTATTTAAAGTCTCTGAACATAGAAATGAAGGCTAAAACTAAAAATGACCTATCGATTTATCACATATCACAATAAACCTTGTTAAAATGTGAAATTTATAATCTTGAAAATAAGACAGGTTTATTGCTGTAACATATAAAAATGTTGTAGAAATTTTTTGCACTAACGATGTATATAATTTAAATTCTAAAAACACTGTTATCCTACGTAACTTGACATGATAAATTTGTTCTAGCTCAGCATAGAAACATTTTTTTTGGCTACAAAAGAACACGGGAAAGTACTTCCTATACAACTCAAATCTAAACAATATTCTTTTTAAAATATACTAGTCTAAGACCACAATTTTAAAACCAGCACGCTAATAGTAACATATACAAAATTCTAACGCATTACTCTCCTCTCACATGATAGAACAAGCATTAGGATTTTCATCACTAAACATGGAGGTAAGTGTGTGAGTAGGTGTATTTGGTACTATTTGAAAAGCTTGAGGTACATCCCTCACATAGCCAGAGGGTGCTTTCTTGTCATATACTCCTGGTGCATATGGGTATGATACCAAATTGTATTCTACGTATGGCCAAAATTCTGCTTTCTTTCCTGTGTTCTGCACTTTCTTTAACACCTTGTTTGGTTCAACATTACCACTCACTGTTACTCGGCTTTGTTTTCTGCTTACATCCACTGATTTCACCCCTAAAACATACAATTAAGCAATTATACAAAAATATTACATATTTGGCCGGTAAAAATTATTACATTTGCTAGTCAAATATACAAAAATATACATAGATTATATATAAAATATGTATATTTTATGTTTATTATACATTAATATATATATATATATATATATATATATATATATATTTTTTTTTTTTTTTGTCAACTACGTATTATTTCTTAAAGCGGCTATAACATAGAAAGAGTCTAATTACAAAATAAGAACTTGAACCCTCGAAGCTATGTAGTAAATTTTAAGTAGTGAGTTTACCTTCTATATATTGACATAGCATAAAAAAATTATTTATTCACTTATTTCTTGATTTCTTTTATGCATGAGAGAGAGAGATATGAGATGAACCTTTTATAGAGGAAACTGCATTAGTAACCTTCCTTTCACAACCATCACAATCCATTTTCACCTTTATTTCAACTGTCTGAAATGGAAAAAAAACTTGGTCTCAATATCACGAAGCGTCAAATATTAATAAATGAAAATAAAAACAAAAATAATTAAGGGGTAATTAAACACAGGGAGTTAGCATGCAAATTTACCTGCATTGGTTTGCGTTTGCTTTTTCTTGTACTTGTAACCTCAAACATATCTGATATGTGATCAATTATACCCATTTTTTTCTTTCAAAAATAATATTTCTTGTGTGAGAAATGTAGTAATTAAAGGGAAGAAAGAGAGGTTAATTAAGGTTCAAGAACTAAGAAGTTTGCAGTATATAAGGAAACTTGGTTGAGAATGCCAGTATTTATAACACTAGATTTTTATCAAATAACAGTTGAGGAGTTGTCAACAAGCTGTTTTTGAAGAAATTATAAACAATATTTTAAACTTAAGAAAGTGACTTATGTCGGCTAATCATAGAATATACACCAAAAATATCAAAGTTAATTACTTGGACAACTGGGCAATATAATTTGGAGGGGTTTTGCTTGGACCCCAATTAATCAATAACAATATGGAATTGCTAGCTAGGTAATTACCCTTCTCTTTTTGTTTATTTATTTGTTTAAAACTTGTACAAACTTAACGTAGTTGCCATAATTAATGCCATCAGATATATATTGTAATATCCTTTGTTTAATGTTTCTTCTTTCTTGCGTCTCACCTTATATTGGAGATGATTATTCTGATTTTTTTGTTCCAAGATACGCATTAATCATTAATATTAATTAGTAATCTATACTTTTTGATGAATGCATATATAGGGTTGGATTCGTTGTGAACTCGTTTACAATCATTCATTCATGTGATCTATCTACTTTGTCATTCTGTCAAGGACGACCAACGCGTTTAGACTACTCGGTCTATGATAGTTGTAACAAATATTCAGTAATGATTTTTCTTTCATAATTTCTTTTTATCGGTCTAAGCCTAGGTTAACAGAGTTACTTGGTATATATGCTAATGGAAGATAGCGTATACTCGATTATAAATAGTTAAGGTGTGCATAAATTGACCTGGATATCTAACGTAATATAAAACAAAAAACAAAGGATCAACCGGAGAAAATAAGGAGGAAACTATGTTTTGTAGTTGCTAAAAAATTAAACTTTGTTCTCTCATAATTTTTACTTTGCTTCATTGACGACTAGACAACATTGAACGTTTTATTTCTTGGGTCTATCTAAACAAATTGAAAAATCCACGACTTATTATTAAACAAGAGCTACAGTTGCACAATAAACAACTAAATTAAACTAGGTTTAATCATACAAGAAATCAGCTAAATACGTAAAATCTTTGTTGGGCTTAAACGGCCCAATGACACTCTTAACATGGTGTGATATTGTCCGCTTTGGGCCAAGTCCGCACGGTTTTTCCCGAAAGGCCTCACACCATTAAGAGATCCCTACACCTTATATGTAGACTCCCAATCTTTTCAGCTACCAATGTGGGACTTTGTTCGCACACCCAACAATCTTATAGACCAGAACAAAGACATCTAATATTACCCAGGTGCCAACTGCCACGTGTATGTTTTCTTCTATGTTATGAAAACATTAAGCAGTGATTGGGATTGTTGGTTTTGTTATACAATCAATAACCTGGAGCCCATCTTCTTGCATTATTTTTTTATGAATAAATGGCTGTTATGAAATTTTAATACTACTTCATGACCATAAGCCCCTTTCATGATTACTAACAGATGTGACATTTCACGTAAATCATAAGCTTATTACCCTACTAAGTCATCTATCAAACACACAAAAAGAAGTAAAGAAATAAAAAAGTCTGCCACATTTGCTTTGCCCAACTTGATTAGATATTGCTGAAAGCAATGGAGAAGGTTGTTATCCAATGTGGCTATTTCCTCTTTAGTCCAATCATTGATCTCCAATCTTTTTCTCACCAACTCTTAGAAATCTTGATGGGTGTGCAAATAATAGAGTTTTTCAGCAATATCATCCTTATTGTTTGACGAAAATTTTCACTACACCCTTATAATATCTCATTTTAACTTGTAATATTACTCAAGTTTCCCAAACTTAACCAAAAACATCACTCTATTAACTTTTCCATCTTGTCTAACGGATGCGAAAAACAAGAGCCTCGCATTATATTGGCAAGTAAATCGAAGTACTTACCTTCTACTTCTCTGAAATTTTTTATTTTGTGTCTCACACAACTGATGCTAGTTGTGTGAGGTCTCTTTTTTGTCTTACAACTGTGGGGTCCCTGAATTTTGTGAACCCAAATGTGTAAGATATGGGTCAACAAATATGTGAGATAAAAAGAGGATTGTGTGAGGCACAAAATAAAATCACTCCTACTTTTCTAGAAGAGTTCGTGAATTCTCTAGAGTTGAGGTCCCATCCTTACCAATATTGCCCTATTAGGTGTAAAGCAACCCTCCAACATTGTAGGAAACTCATCGTGCATTTGCTGGTCCATAAACTGAGCAATATTCGACTAGACTTTACACAGTGATTAATCGCAGCAGAAATAAACTGAGCAAACAGAAAAGTAAAGGAGGCACATCAATATTTATACTGGTTCCGTACCGGTGTGGTACCTACATTCAGTTCCCTTGGTTCACAAAGGCTCTCTTAGATCTTCAGTAAGAGTTTACGACTGTGGTGGTTTTTGTACGTTCACCACCAACGATATACAACAACAATCACTATAAGAAATTTGATTTTTAACGATCATTTCTTAACGAAGGGACATAAATCCGGTCGTTATAAGTGTACTTATAGCAACCAAATTTTTTTCCAGTCGTTGAAACTAATTTTCAGCTCAATATTAACGAAGGGATAGTATTCGGCCGTTAAAATAAAACATAGCCCGTCGTTAAATAATTACTATTAATGAAAAGAGTGGCACTAACTTTTCCCTTTTTTTCCATCTCCG